GTGAGCACATCAAGAATTTTGTTAGCACTCACTGCTGTCAGCTAATATGCAAGCGAGAGGGAGGATTTTCTGGCATATTAGCATGTTATTTCTTTTGTTCTTACATATAACCTTGGTAAGGAAATCCCGGAGGGGAAGATACAAAGGCAGCTCTTAGCCCCTCTACTTCTGTAATACATTTAACTTGTAACTTTATTGCTAATCACTCATTAGTCTCATGAATCTGGTGTAAGGATGTATCCTTTTGACCATGAGATAAAGAGCTTGTTTCCTATGGCTTATTTCCATCATTTTCATAGTTGATATCTTAAAAAGTAAAGATAAGAGAGAGTAGTGTTTTTAGCTTTTAAAATTTCAGGTTAAATTCATGCTAGTTATGTTAACCTACTTTTCACATGTTTCTAAGATGATTTATGTTACCACTTGGGGGAGCTCTTTTATAAGTTAGTGCATTGTAAAAGAGCAAGTGTTGGGTTGGCCAAAAAGTTTGTTCAGCATGTCCATAAAATATCATGGGGAAAAACTCAACAAACTTTTTGGTTAACCAAATAGAAGTCATATCACTAACTCAGGTTACCAATTGGGTTGTTTAAGTAAACTAAACTAAATGATAGCTTAAATGAATAGCCTCTTAAGTGTTGATTAGAGATTTTGATTTAAACTGTAGTATATGTAATTAAAGTTTTACTATTTAAAAAAAAATTTTCTCAAGAATATTCCTAATTTTTCTTCTTACCTGTTTTATATAAATTTAGTACTCTTCAATTGACTTACTTTCCCCTCTATTTTATAATTGTAGGTAATTTAGAAAATGTATCTAGGATTAATGAAAACCATTTGTAATCCTACCACCTAGAGATAATAGTTAACATTTTGATATATTTTTGCCTATCCTTTCTTTTAAAATTTTTCACCAAATTGGAGTCAAAATATACACAGAATTTTGTATTTTGATATTTTTTTCTCTTAACGTGTCTTTGGCTTTTTTTTCCCATGTCCTTATAATCTTTGAAATGTTTTCTAAGAGTTTTATGTAGCTCTTGATACAGCTCTATCATAATTTATTTAACTATTCTATTTAAAGATATTTAAATGTTTCCCACCATTTTTGCTGTTGTAATTCTTTGAACATTTATTATATTGAATCTTACTTAGTAATTATTTTCATTGGATAAATTCATAGAGATAAAACTGAACTCTTAAGGCTCTTGATGCAAATTAGCAAAATGTCCTTCAATTAACACTCTTCTGAGGTTCTTATTTTCAAAATATGTTTATTGAAAATTACTGTCTTTTTCTTTTGCAAAATGCTTTTTGTTATCCTTTCCTCATTTTTTTCTTCTTTCATTTTTTTTTTTTTGTGATTCTTTTGGCTGAGTAAAAATTGCTTTTCCTCTGTTTTAATGGTTTCAAAGGTGCTATTCTGAGCCCATTACATAATTCTCAACTAAAGTTTTGAGGAAACAAGTCAGTTACAAATTTGGGTTGTAATTTCCATTGGAAAATAGGGCATAGATCTTGAGACAGCAGTGAGGGCTGGAAAGCAGGATGAGTCATGTGAAACATCTGTATCGAGGAGTTGGGGATGCTATAGAAGTGGATGAAACTGCAGACGGCAGAGGAAAAAAGAAGGTGGTGGGAAAAAGTATTTGGAATTAGGAAACTCTGAAAAAGTTGATAGAGATAAAAAAGAGACACATATGTCTGTTTTGCACACAGAGGTGCTAAGGTAGTTCAATGGAGAAAGGAGTTCCCTCTCAACAAACGATACTGGAGCAGTTCGACATCCATAAGCAAAAAATGAACTTTCATCCCTGTGTTGCACCAGTCATAAAAATTAATTCAGATGAAGCATAGATATAAACTTTCAGAAGATGACCAAGGAGAAAATCTTTGTGACCTTGGTTTAAACAAAGATTTCATGGATAGTACCAGCAAGGGCATGATCTATAAAAGTAATAAATTGAGCTCCATCAAAATTAAAAACTTATGCCCTTTGAAATACGCTATTTAAGAAAATGAAAAGCTACAGATCAGTTGAAGATTTTTGCAAAACACATACCTGTTAAGGAATTTGAATCCAGAATGTTTAAGTAACTCTTAACAACTTTTTAAGACAAACAACTGAATAGAAAATTGGCAGAAGGAGAGATCCAGATGATAAGTGAGATTTGAAAAGTACTCAATGTTATTAGTCCTTGGGAAAACGTACCACTACACACCTACTAGGATGACTGGAAAACAGACAAACAGAAACTAAGTGCTGGTGAGGATGTGAAGAAACTTGAACTCTCATTTGTAGCTGGTGGGGGTGCAAAGTATTACAGCCACATTGGAAAACAGTTTAGCAGTTTCTTACAAACTTAAACTTACATTTAATATAGAATTTAGCATTCCCCAATGAGGTATTCACCCAAGAGAAATGAAAATATGAATCCACTTAAAGATCTGTAGTTGAATATTTAAGGCTAGGGCTAGTAGTCTTATTCATAGCAGTGTGTTCAGCTTTTGGAATAGATAAACAAAGTGTGGTGTATTCATACAATGGAGTGCTACTCAACAAATAAAAGGGATAAATACTAATAGGTGCAATAATATGGATGAGTTCTCAGAAGCATTATGCTAAGTGAAAGAAGCCAGACAAAAAGGGTTACAGCCTATATAATTCCATTTGTATGACATTCTAGAGAAGGAATTGACATCAGATCAGTGATTGCCAGGGGCTAGAAGTCAATAAAAATGCTTTCTTGCACACAAAACTCCAGTATTCCTCAGCATTCCCAAGGATGAATATCTTTGGTGTGGAGAAGATTGGGTTGTGGACAGTTTTTGAGACAGATATGATGTAGAGGAATGAGTGCTAGATTCTCTGATAATAGTGCTGCTGCTGTTTATTATTGAATGAGTATAAGGCCTGGCACTGTGCTGATTACTTAAGAGCATCCTCACTGTTAAATTTCACAGTGACCCAGATAGGATACTATTATCATTTCTATTTTAGTAAAAACTGAGGTTTAATTAGATTTAATCAGTTGTTCACAGTTACACAACTAGAGTATGTGTTCAAAGTCTTGAATGTTTGACACAAAAATTCATGTTTTTAACTTAAATAGAAGTGTAACTCCCAGGGAGACAGGGAATTTTTTTTGTTTCTGTTTTCATCACTGTATCCCCAAAGTGACAAAACTGTGTTAGTTGCATAATGATTATTTCTTTAAAAATTATTCAGTTCAGTTCAGTCACTCAGTCGTGTCCGACTTTTTGCAACCCCATGAACCACAGCACGCCAGGCCTCCCTGTCCATCACTAACTCTCGGAGTTTACCCAAACTCATGTCCATTGAGTTGGTAATCTAAATTATTAGATATGTCAAATTTTAGAAGATACTAAAAAAACAAATTGGCCTGGAGAAGGAAATGGCAACTCACTCCAGTATTCTTGCCTGGAAAATCCCATGGACAGAGGAGCCTGGTGGGCTACAGTCCATGAGGTTGCAAGAATCAGACACAGCTTAGCGACTAAACCACCACCATATGTATATAAACTCAACAGTAGGACCAAGAAATGTGTTTCTGGAGGGGTGTGCTTTTATCATTGATATTGTTTAAAATTTCCAGATCATGGTGATAATTAAAGCTGATAGCTTCTGTTGGTTTATTACCATTTTTAAATTTTCTACAGATAATGTCGCTTTTTTTTTTTTGCACCAGTGTAGATGATTCTCACTACTCCACATTTGTACTCCACAGTTGCTTTTATATGTTGTTTTTTTCAGATAAATGGTTAATGTCTTAAGTGGCAATTCAAAATTAAGGCCTGTATGTATGATATGTTAATGGTCATTTTTCTATGCCTACATTCTACCTCTAGAACAGTAGAAGCATTATGAATGTCAGCACATTGTTGGTCTCCTGAATTGCACAGCTGTCACATGATGACCATATGTATGACTGGCTAGCTTTTCCCTGCTCTACTTAGGGTTTCTCTGAATTCTTCAATATAAATTTTAACAGAAAAAAAAATTGGAAGAGATAAAACTGTATGAAGATAAAGATATGATTTTTAAAATTAAGGAAAAGTTTAGAGTTGGATAGTGATAAGCTTTGTATTATCCCTAAAATTTGATAATCTAGAATAATTCTTTTTCCTAAAACTTTTGTATAATTGAGATTTCAAAACAATATAAAATTGCATCACGTACTTTTCAGCTCCATTGTACTCTACAATTAAGAGTAAGCAAGTAGTTCCAACTGTTAGAACATTAGATAATTTGTTATTTTTTTTGTTTTCAACTTAATATAATCCAATTCTACCTATAAAACACATATTTAAATAAAGATATATTTTTATGGGAAAAAGTATTCTAATGATAATGAAAAAATATTCTAGTGATAATGACAGCTGTCATTCATTGAGTACTAATTAAATGCTAGGCATTGTGGTAAGGGCTTTATATAAAAGTCTCATTTAATTCTTACAAAGTGAGGTAAGTATTATTTCCATTTTATAAGGAAGGCAGAGCACTGAGAGAGATAAATTTCATAAGGTTAGAAAATACTTGAATCAATAGTTTGGTAAAAGAACAAGTGAATTAGAGTAAAAGGAGGATAATCAAGTGAGAAAATGAGCTTGTTTTTTAAAAAAAATTTGTGTTATGAAGTAAAATCTTTCACCTTGGCTTGGATAAGATGTTGTGTTATTGAGAACTGAAAATGTTTACCTCAGAGAACTGACTGGCTTCTAGATTTCTTATAGAAAGTTGTAATTTAACTTTTTGACCTTTCTGGTAATTTTTTTTGCTTTACAATATAAAATTCAGTTACTAATTTTGTAACTAGTTTTTTCTAGCTTAGAGTTAAATACTCTCATAAAGACTTATGAACAGATTTATTTTATTATACTCAATAAGAAAAAAGTTGCATAGAATAATTTTAACACAGTTTTTGTGTGTAAATGATTTAATGAATTACTTGAACCTTTTTGTTTTGTTTTGTTCGCAGGAAGGTTATGTTCAAAAGAAAAAGGAACTGTGGGGAATCTGTATCTTTATTGCAGCAGTTGACTTAGATGAGATGCCATTCACTTTCACTGAACTACAGAAAAACATTGAAACCAGGTAGAATTTCTTCCATTAATATAGGCCTCTGCCATTTAAAAGAAAAACAAAAAAACTATTCTTGAACTGTCATTGTAATAGACTTCAGGGAATTGGTGGGAAATGCCAAAATTAACTAAAATATGGAGAATTTGGGTCAGCTAGTGAACTCTCCTACTCCACTGGGGCCCTTAATGTCTTTATGCTGCACTTTCTTTAAAACGTGCCAGTCTGTGTCCTGGGAAAATCTTCAATGTATCTCTCACTATGTTAACTTTCTTAATTGTAGCTGTTGATAAAACGAACAAAAAAGGCAGATTTATTAAATAGGCTTATTATATATTAAAACCTTTGTAAAAGTAGTGTGAGCCCATCTTCAAGGAGTTTAGTTAATTTATTAAAGTTTAACACTTTTAATATAATAGATATTATAATTATATATGTTTTGAGACTGTGTATTCAATTAAGTATCTATTATAATACTTGCCCCTGTAATTACTTAATGTCTGTATTGAGTTTATAAGCCTAATGAGAGTTTACTAATTGTTTCCAACAACTCAAGAAAAGCCTTCTGGTCATTTCTTCTAGTCATTTCTTTTACAGTATATTTACAGTATCTAACAGTAAATAATTTACCAAAAAGATAGTAGTATGTTTCTTCTTGGATAAAGCCATCTAGAGTTAAACATAACTAGTGTTTTGTGTAAATGAGATAAAATTGTTTCACGTTTTAGTAACTCTTTCTTACTACCTCTAAATAAAATGTGGAAACAAAGACCTTCTATGTTCATATTTAACTGATTAAATTAGAAGTTGTTTACCTCTCAGAGATTTCAAAGTTTAACTTTATTAAATAAAATCACTAGACCAAAATAGGTTTTATATAGCTGAAAACGGTCTGAATATAGAGGTAAATTTTTACATCAGCACATGTTTTAGGGACCTCAGAGGATTGGAAAGAGAATATCACTGTTTGGGTTAAGATAGACTGGGTATATTTTACAAGGTATGTGACTTGACATAGATTGCTTACCCTTATTAAGTCTCGGGTCCCTTTCCTTTCCTGTGATATAAAAATTATTAGTGTTAGTCGTCAGTCATGTTCTACTCTTTGCGACTCCATGGACTGTAGCCTGCCAAGCTCTTCTGTCCATGGGATTTCCCAGGCAAGAACGCTGGAGTGGATTGCCATACCCTTCTCCAGGGAATCTTCCTGATCCAGGAATCAAACCCAGGTCTCCTGCATTGTAGGCAAATTATTTACCATCTGAGCTCCCAGCTATTTCCTTTTTCTTTCCCCTAAAACCATTGGTGGGGTAAAGAGAGAAGGTGTGTGCATCTGTGGTGAGGGAGAGCCATGGGTCCCTGAGAAGGGTGTTAGAGCCAAAGTGGGATAAGGAGGGTGTGGGGGGCTTCTTGACATGGGCTCCTTGGTGTGCGGACAGCTGGTGTAGGGAGTCACAGCACATGTGAGGTAAGAGCTGTCTGGGATGAGCAGTCAGATCCCTACGTGGAGGGGTGAGGGCAGTTCACGGTGGAGGGAGTCAGTCCAAGCAGGAGAGGAGGGTGCCAACATCGAGAAGTGGGTAGCTTGGTAGTTACAGGGGGATTGATTAAATGAGTAAGTCAGAGATAAGTGGATCCCAGGTTTCTCACTGTCAAAGAAGAGTTGTAAATTTGTAAAGGAAAACATTAGAATGAAACAGGTAGTTTTTGTGTTGGATAAATGGATGTGAACTTAGGATTTTTAAAACATATAGCTAGATATAGAACTAAATATTTGTATATGTCTGTAATAACCCTTATATGTTCTGTGTTCTTGTTGATAAATGGATGTAGGCTTAGGTATATAGATATAGGGATATAGGTTGAAGACTAGTTGATTTTTTTTCCCCTTTAAATTCTAGTAAAATGCAAAAACTAAATCCTTCCAAAAGATATAATAGTGATTTGGTACAGAGCTAACAGGCCTTTTGAATTGAAATGTCTATGCTTTGAAAATGAAAAAATGAATTTCTAAAGTTGTGGATTCACTTTTTTCTATTCTTTCCTTTGTAGTGTCTATAAATTCTTTGATTTACTAAAAGAAATTGATACTAGTACCAAAGTTGATAATGCTATGTCAAGACTGTTGAAGAAGTATAATGTGTTGTCTGCACTCTACAGCAAATTAGAAAGGTAAAGTAAAAGTTTTATTAGGATTGCACTGTGCATTTTCATGTCATTGTTCATGGTTAGATTACATCTGGGAACTGTTACATACTTAGTAAAGTTGTTAAGTATTGTACCTTAGATTTGTCCCCTTAATAATCTTGACTTTCTTATTTGTCCAGTCATATACATTCTGAATGTTTCTTCCAAAATTATTTGTTTATTCATGTTTCACGTGTTTTAATGAACTTCATTTCCACTTTAGCCTTCTCTGCCAGAAGACTTGCACTTCTGAATGGAGGAGTCATCTAAATTTAAGATTCTTCCTGGTGGTGACCTTACTCCAGAAAGAATGAACAGACGGAGCCAAAGCAAAAACAACACCCAGTTGTGGATTTGACTGGTGATGGAAGCAAGGTCCTATGCTATAAAGGTCCTATGCAATATTACATAGGAACCTGGAACGTTAGGTCCATGAATCAGTGCAGATTGGAAGTGATCAAACAGGAGATGGCAAGAGTGAACGTTTTAGGAATTTAGGACATTTTAGGAATCAGCGTACTAAAATGGACTGGAATGGGTGAATTTTACTCAGATGACCATTATATCTACTACTGTGGGCAAGAATCCCTTAGAAGAAATGGAGTAGCCATCATAGTCAACAAACAAGTCCGAAATGCAGTACTTGGATGCAATCTCAAAAATGACAGAATGATCTCTGTTTGTTTCCAAGGCAAACCATTCAATATTACAGTAATCCAAGTCTCTGCCCCGACCAGTAATGCTGAAGAAGCTGAAGTTGCATGGTTCTATGAAGACCTACAAGACCTTTTAGAATTAACACCCAAAATAGATGTCCTTTTCATTATAGGGGACTGGAATGCAAAAGTAGGAAGTCAAGAAGTACCTGGAGTAACAGGCAAATTTGGCCTGGGAGTACAGAATGAAGCAGAGCAAAGGCTAATAGAGTTCTGCCAAGAGAGTGCACTGGTCATAGCAAACACCCTCTTCCAGCAGCACAAGAGAAGACTCTACACATGAACATCACCAGATGGTCAACACTGAAATCACATTGATTATACTCTTTGCAGCCAAAGATGGAGAAGCTCTATACAGTCAGCAAAAACACGACCGGGAGCTGACTGTGGCTCAGATCATGAACTCCTTATTGCCAAATTCAGACTTAAATTGAAGAAAGTAGGGAAAATCACTAGACCATTCAGGTATGACCTAAATCAAATCCCTTACAATTATACACTGGAAGTGAGAAATAGATTTAAGAGACTAGGTCTGATAGACAGAGTGCCTGATGAACTATGGATGGAGGTTCGTGACATTGTACAGGAGACAGGGATCAAGACCATCCCCAAGAAAAAGAAATGCAAAAAAGCAAAATGGCTCTCTGAGGAAGCCTTACAAATAGCTGTGAAAAGAAGAGAAGTGAAAAGCAAAGGAGAAAAGGAAAGATATTCCCATTTGAATACAGAGTCCCATAGAATAGCAAGGAGAGATAAGAAAGCCTTCCTCAGTGATCAATGCAAAGAAATAGAGGAAACCAATAGAATGGGAAAGACTAGAGATCTCTTCAAGAAAATTAAAGATACCAAGGGAACATTTCATGCAAAGATGGGCTCAATAAAGGATAGAAATGGTATGGACCTAACAGAAGCAGAAGATATTAAGAAGAGGTGGCAAGAATACACAGAAGAACTGTACAAAAAAGATCTTCATGACCCATATAATCACAATGGTGTGATCACTCACCTAGAGCCAGACATCCTGGAATCTGAAGTCAAGTGGGCCTTAGGAAGCATCACTATGAACAAAGCTAGTGGAGGTGATGGAATTCTAGTTGAGCTATTTCAAATCCTAAAAAATGATGCTGTGAAAGTGCTTCACTCAATATGCCAGCAAATTTGGAAAACTCAACAGTGGCCACAGGACTGGAAAAGGTTAGTTTTCATTCCAATCCCTAAGAAAGGCAATGCCAAAGAATGCTCAAACTACTGGACAATTGGCACTCATCTCACATGCTAGCAAAGTAATGCTCAAAATTCTCCAAGCCAGGCTTCAGCAATACATGAACCATGAACTTCCAGATGTTCAAGCTGGATTTAGAAAAGGCAGAGGAACCAGAGATCAAATTGCCAACATATGCTGGATCATCGAAAAAGCAAGAGAGTTGCAGGAAAACATCTATTTCTGCTTTATTGACTATGCCAAAGCCTTTGACTGTGTGGATCACAATAAACTGTGGAAAATTCTGAAAGAGATGGGAATACCAGACCACCTGACCTGCCTCTTGAGAAATCTGAATGCTGGTCAAGAAGCAACAATTAGAACTGGACATGGAAGAACAGACTGGTTCCAAATAGGAAAAGGAGTACATCAAGGCTGTATATTGTCACCCTCCTTATTTAACTTATATGCAGAGTACATCATGAGAAACGCTGGGCTGGATGAAGCACAAGCTGGAATCAAGATTGCTGGGAGAAATGTCAAGGTAACCTCAGATATGCAGCTGACACCACCCTTATGGCAGAAAGTGAAGAAGAACCAAAGAGCCTCTTGATGAAAGTGAAAGAGGAGAGTGAAAAAGTTGGCTTAAAGCTCAACATTCAGAAAGTTAAGATCATGGCATCTGGTCCCATCACTTCATGGCAGATGGATGGAGAGACAGTTGAAATAGTGGCAGACTTTATTGGTTTGGGCTCCAAAGTCACTGCAGATGGTGACTGCAGCCATGAAATTAAAAGACACTTACTCCTTGGAAGGAAAGTTATGACCAACCTAGACAGCATATTAAAAAGCAGAGACATTACTTTGCCAACAAAGGTCCATCTAGTCAAGGCTATGGTTTTTCCAGTGGTCATGTATGGATGTGAGAGTTGGACTATAAAGAAAGCTGAGCGCTAAAGAATTGATGCTTTTGAAAACAGAAAAAGAGACTCCGATGTATAGAACAGACTTGTGGACTCTGGGAGAAGGCGAGGGTGGGATGTTTCAAGAGAACAGCATCGAAACACGTATATTATCTAGGGTGAAACAGATCACCAGCCCAGGTTGGGTGCATGAGACAAGTGCTAGGGCCTGGTGCACTGGGAAGACCCAGAGGGATCGGGTGGAGAGGGAGGTGGGAGGGGGGACCAGGATGGGGAATACTGTAAATCCATGGCTAATTCATTTCAATGTATGACAAAAACCACTGCAATGATGTAAAGTAATTAGCCTCCAACTAATAAAAATAAATGAAAAAAAAAAAGATATATGACAAGAATTTGGAAGTGTAGGAGAGGGAAAGTAATCTCTACTTGTCTAAGTTCCTGACTGAGATTTCCTGTAATAAAAGATAAATTAACAAGAAAAAAAAAAAAAAAAAGAATTGATGCTTTTGAACTGTGGTGTTGGAGAAGACTCTTGAGAGTCCCTTGGACTGCAAGGAGATCCAATCTGTCCATCCTAAAGGAGGTCAGTCCTGGGTGTTCATTGAAAGGACTAATGCTGAAGCTGAAACTCCAGTACTTTGGCCACCTCATGCAAAGAGTTGACTCATGTGAAAAGACCCTGATGCTGGGAAAGGTTGAAGGCAACAGGAGAAAGGGATGACAGAGGATGAGATGGTTGGATGGCATCACCGACTCAGTGGACATGAATTTGAGTAAACTCCAGGAGTTGATGATGGACAGCAAGACCTGACGTGCTGCAGTCCGTGGGATCACAAAGAGTCAGACACGACTGAGCGACTGAATTGAACTGAACTGAATGGTGACCTTACTGCCAAGTTGTGCCTTGTATTCTTAATGGTGGTTTAAAAGAATTTTTTTTGGTGGCATATCCTTTAAGAAACTTTAGGCTATCAGGTGTTTTAGTGCATATAAATTAAGAAACTACACAAGCATTAATGAAATAATTATTGGTAATGACTAAATGTTAGATGCTCGGAATGTGAAATCTTATGATACTGTGATCATCAAGAAGTTTACAGTAAATAATTAAATTATCTATTTTAATATAATTATTTGCAGTAATTTTTTGATGTCCTATTGTAGAGGGTTGTTTGTAAGAAGCAGAAATTATGTAGTGGGTAACAATACTGTGTATTTTTAAGGTAATAAGAATAATTATGGGGTGAAAAAACTGTAGAAGAAGGCAATGTCTGAGTAGAGTTTAAAGAAATAATTAGAAACTCACCAAGCAAAATACGTGGAGACTGGGACTGAGCATCCTAGGCAGAGTGATCAGCATGTGTACAAAGCCAAAGCAGTACCAGAAAGTGCTTTGGATGCTGCTAATGGCTAAAGGGTAGGAGGGGATGAGATTGATAGTGAGCTTGTTCTTTGCCCAGCAGGCAATGGAGTCATTGATTTTAAGCTATCAAGTGACAGAGTCTGATTTGTCCTGTAAAAGATCACTCAGGCCTTTGTTAAAGGGATTTGGAATTTTTATTGACTAGTTTATGAGATAATTTAATGTTTATTGGTCTTGAAGTGAATCAGGATTTTTTTTTCTATCTTATGTGTACCTTCTTCTTAAGAACTGTTGAGAAAATTAGCTGTGATACCGAAAGTGAAAGTCACTCAGTTGTGTCTGACTCATGGACACATGGACAAATAAACAGGCCTGCCAAAGCCTGTTGATTTCTGGGTTCACTTATATGTATGTATATGGCAGTGTGCTGTAGTGATTAGGATAACTTTTAAAAAGTTAAACAGATCTAGATAGGAATATTAATTTTTTCATTTACCGACTTTGTAAGCTAGAGAAAGATACTTAACATCTTTAAACCTCAATTTCAATCTGTAAGATATAGCTAATCTTAATGCTCTCCTTGCAGAGAAATTGTAAGAATGAAGTCAGACAATATTACTGGTTAGCTCACCTCCTAGCACATACTAAATGCTTAATAAACAGTAGCTTTTAAAGCTGTTACTAACTACATTAGTGCTGTCACATAGAAATATAAAAATGCAAGCCATATTATTTTAAATAGTTAGCTGCATGACAAGTATAAACAAGTGAAATTAATTTTAGTGTTTTATTTAACTCATATATCCCAAAACATCAAATTTTGACATGTATCATTCATCCATAAACTTGTGTACAGGTGTTCATGGCTGTGTTATTTGTATTAGCCAAAAAGTGGAATCACCCCAAATATCCATCAGCTGACGAAAGGATAAACAAAATGTGAACTATCCATATATTTAGGGGGCTTCCCTGGCCACTCAGATGGTAAAGAATCTGCCTGCAATGCAGGAGACCTGGGTTCGATCCTTGGGCCGGGAAGATCTCCTGGAGAAGGAAACAGCAATCCACTGCAGTACTCTTGCTTCAAGGAGCCTGGCAGGTTACAGTCCTTGGCGTTGCAAAGAGCCAGACACGACTGAGCAACTGACACACATATCCATATGGTAGAATACTATTCAGCCATAAAGGGAATAAAGTACTGATATATGCCACAGTGTGGATGAACCTTGAAAACATTAAGCTAAGTGAAAGATACCAGATACAAAGGCCACATACTTTTATTAGATGATATGTCCAGAACAGGCATATCCATGACATGGAAGGTACTATTTCAGTGAAGTCTTTTCTCCCAGTGTATTACCTCTGATTTGCTCCTCAGTGTAGCCTTGGCCAGGTGCAGTCACTGAGCTGACAGTGGTTTTTTCTTTAACCATCTTTCCCCCTGTTGTTAAGCTAACTGCCTCTGTTAATGTCACACTTAATTGTTACCTCTCATTTATTGCTGATTACTTTTTTGCTTTTGACAATGCTCTGAGTCACAAATTGCTTCATAGTTTAATCCAATTATACTTGGCTCCCTTTGCAGAAGTAGTCTTTGATGTCAGGAGAGTTATTCTTAGTTGTTTCTTTCCCTGGTTCTCGTCTCAGTGATCTAGGATTTAGCTTTTTGGTCTCATAAGATCTGTTGGGTTTCTCTTTTATCTGCTTCTACTAAAATCTGCATTGCCTTCAACAGTGCTGTTATTCTTGAACACCCCCACACCATTCTGCGTGAAGTTAATTCCTCTAGGGAGAGCTCAAGGCTCTATGTTCTTAAGACCTGCTTCTCTCCTATTGCCACTTCTGTGCCACTGGTTGGGAGAGCCAGACGGCAGTGTTCTCTTCTCTGGCAGTGATGCCTCTGCTTTAAGAGGAGGGCACTGCGAAGAGACAATAGCCCTAGTCTTCCCAGATTGCCTTTCTTGGCTGGAGCCTCTGTCCTGTGAGCCAGCTGAGACAAGACAAATCAGTATTTTGATGTGCTGAGTGCCTGGAATAAAACTTTACCCTGTGAGTGGGTGCGAAGTGGAGGACAGGAGCCCCAGACCGCTCAGCTCCTCTTGCTTGGGCTGGGTCTTCTGCAACATAGACCTGTGGGAGGTGAGAAACACTGATAACCTGCTCTCCCCAGGGAGAGTTGCAGGCTGAGAGCTGGAGAGAGAGGAGCCCTGTGTCTTGGCTACACCTGTCAGGCATAGAGCTTCCTTACGCTGAACTGGAGAGGAGTAAGAAATGAGTTTTGCATTGAATTCCTCAGACTCATTGATCTCATCAGGATTTGTTAGATTTTCTTGAAGATATGTTCCCTTTTTTGTTGTATGCCCTTAGAAAAATTTCCAGAGACTTTAAATGGTTTTTCAGAAATAGTTTTTACCAATTATAGTTATTATTTTAGGGAACAGGTCTGTAAAGATCCTTACTCTACCCACCATTCCAGAAGTCGCTGCCCTAAATAAGTAGGTTTCAGTTTAGTACTTTTCAGTTGTGTTATTTCGGCAAGACTTTATTAAATAAGCTTTTATGACCTGGTGTGAGATTGTAGCCAGATCAAGATTCAGTTACAGAATGTATTCCAAGTTACACATGCACACACGGAGTCCAGTCGTTTTGTAACTAAATATTACAGGGATGTATGAAATGTCATAAATTGGAAACATCTACTTTAACTTTGTTTTTATAATTCTGCACTTTAAAAAAAGTATCCTTAAAATAGGATGAATAAAGCATTATAAAATTGACTTCTAAACTATGAAAAAAGTTTAAAAGTAACTTTTTAAAAAGTCATGATGTTAACATAATTATTTCTTCCTTTCAGGACGTGTGAGCTTATATATTTGACACAACCCAGCAGTTCGTAAGTACCTCAGAGCATGTTATTTTTCACTTTTTGGGTTTTTTAATATATGAAATAATCCCAAACACATTGATAATTTCAGGGTTGGTTTGATTGCTTATTTCACACTACTTCATAAATTAAGGTAATAGATTTAAGTCCTGTGCAGATTATTTGTCTTTTCACAAAGAAAGTGGTATGAAGTACTTGCCTTTTACTATAAGGGAGAACTAATTGGGAACTAAAGGGAGAAGTTGATTCAGAGCAATTTTTTACCAACTCTGAGAAAAATGCTAATCTTTATTGAGAGTGTATTACAGACATTTTATTAACTAAGACTTAAAGCATAATTTTTATGTAAGAGTAAATATGAATGTCTATGTTAAAATTTCCAAATAGTCTTTTTAAATGTATGATACATGTTCCAGCAATATACCATTGTAAGAGTTCTACAGTTTTTTTTCAGAAACATAATGAGTAATATATGAGATTTTCTGCCCCACTGAAATAATGATACTGAAGACAATTGATACAGAGAAATTGTATATTTATTAATTAACTCTATTAATCTAATTCCACTTGTTAATTCCAACAAGTGAATGATTTAAAGTTTATGAGGGCATAGTGTTAAACTGGTAAACTAGAGTCACCCAAACTTCTATATTTTCTGTTTACATAAAATTGGTTTTAATTAGAAAACAGAAAAGAATTAATTGGAAACCAAGTATGTCATATTATACTACTTCCTGTGCATATTTTTAGATTACAATCGAAGGTATTCAGTGTTTTCTTTAGAAAAGGTATACTACTCTGTGGGAAAATATAAATAACTTGGTAAAAACACAAACTAAATTGAGACAAAATTGAATTCATGTGTAAATTGTGCATTTAAAATGGACTGTATTCTATTATGCAGTCAACTCTAGGCTGTAACTGTAAAAAATGGGGGGAAAAGATATATTTAGAAAACTAATTTTTTTTCTGTTTACTAGGATATCTACTGAAATAAATTCTACGTTGGTGCTAAAAGTTTCTTGGATCACATTTTTATTAGCTAAAGGTAAAGTCATTGTTAAATGCTAATGTTTCAAATGTAATAATTGATCCTTCTTTTGAGTAAGCTCAAAATTTAATTCAGTTCAATGTTGCTCCTCCTTACCTCCAATTTTTGTGATTTTTTAACTCTTAGCAAATTCATAGTTCTGGTACTGTAGGCAACCTTGAAAATGTCTCATTTCACTTCTTTTTTTAATATTTTTTCATTCTTTCCTACTTTCCTATTTTTAAGAATAATGTTACTGTTTTTATAAAAATGATGTATACTCATGATAAAGAATTCAATAAATACAGTGAAATGCAAAGAAAAATAGAAAAATTACCCAGAACCCACTTAAAATAATCATCAAAATTATGTATATGCACAAAATACATCTGAAATGACATTCTGATAAAATAGATGGGTGGATGAGTGCATTCACAGAGAGATATAATTTTCTAAAAATAAAATCATATTATTGTGCTATTTAAAATGTAAAAATTAATTTTACTCAAATTTTATAGAAGAAAATAAACAAATAGTAGGAATTGCTTGAATTTATCTGAATGTTTTAACTTAAGCAATATTATTTCCTAAAATATTTCTCTAACATTATGAAAAAGTATTATGAAAACATTTAAGAGGTTAGAATCTTTATTTTATATAGCTTTGTGTTTTAAGTTATAATGATACATATTAATCTGCTCTGAAGAACAAGAATCCTCTCTCTTCATGTCACCCTTCCTATTTCCTACTTTCAACTTTGCTTATTTTTTTTTATCATCATTGCATTATCCAAGATTATATTTATATTCTGTAATATATGTATATTCTGTAATTATAGTTATCACACTTGTTTTACCTCATTTATGTATTTAAATGAATTCTAAGCTTTTAGTCACTCCTGTATCATAGCTTCTCCATTTCTGAGTTCTTTATTTTGATCTATCCTTAGCTGTCTAGATTTTACCATGGAGTTTTTCAAAAAAGCTTTTTGGTGCTGTGTTTTCTATGTTTGGCCTGTTTTATGAGTCATGTCCTAAAGATTCTGCTCTTCATTTCAGAGAAATCTTAGCATGCTACATTTTAAGATATTATTCTGTTATGTTTTGACAACACCCACTATCTTACCTTAGATTGATTTTGTCCTCCCTATTTATTGTCTTCTCTAATGTTAAACTTTGGTCTTTTTCCTATGTATTAACTACTTTTATTTCAAACTTTCCTTCTGTTTTGAGCTAAACTATGTTTGTAATTGTTACTTGGTCTTGAGTTTTTCCTTACCTTGTCTAGCTCTTTGTTTTTATGTAATTCGTGTTCTTTTGAGTCCTCAGTGCAAGGACTCAGGACATTTTCTTCTGATAGATTATCTTCAACATGGGGTTGTCTACCCAGTTTTCCCCCTCCTTATATTGTGATTCTATTTTTTTATTTTCTTTTTTATTTTCTCTAATATGTTTGCATAACCACTGTGCTTCCCATCCTCTTTCCATCCACCTTGTTGCTAGGACTTTGTTTGGGCCTCTCAGACCTGCTGTTCTGTTTTCTTTGATGTAGTGTGAATGCATTTCCCTTCACTCACTTTGCACTTTATCTGTGACTAGTTGTGTTCCCCAAAGAGCTATTGTATGAAAGCAGCCTTTTAAAAAAAAAATTATACTTACTTTTAGTCAGAGGATGAGGGAGAAAGTCGGGACCTCATCTGGAATGATATGAGTCATTGTTCTGAGATTTTTGTTAGAATGACCGGTAAAACAGGCACTTGTCCTGTTTCCATAAAAGGAGTGTGTTAGGATTCAGATTGTCCCCTAATTCAGTGTATTATACTGGAGTCTTTATGTTTGTTAGAGTTGCTGTAGCTGTTTACTTCCTCCATTTTTCCCTCTCTTGTCAGTAATACCTATTCCCTCTAAGCAAAAAGAGGGGAAAAGATAAGGATGCTCTGAGTCATTATCTCTCAAATTTGGTATTGTTATTAGCACTTAACCAGTACATATTTTTCTTTTCATTTTGTTAGGAATTGGAAGAGAGATTCTTTGATCTGACCTTACTCCACTATTTTTAACTAGAGGTCCTTGATATTCTTTACCTCTGTGGCATTTCTTAACAACTTCTAAGTGTATTATAAACAAATTTTTGCACCGTACATAGGGATATAGAAAATGATTTTTAGCATGTTCCTAGTGATTGTTGAATCATGAGTATACGGACACACTCATGTCCACAATTTTTCCTGACTTAATATCTCAATCTCTACCTTAAAATGTGGACCATTTTTGTTTTCAGGACAAGTATTACAAATGGAAGATGATCTGGTGATCTCATTTCAATTAATGCTGTGTGTCCTTGACTATTTTATCAAACTCTCACCTGCTGCATTGCTCAAAGAACCATATAGTGAGTATTTTAATTTATACCCCTCCTACTTCATCATTCAGAGTTGTTTATTGACTTATCCTAGATCCAAAACACAGTTCTAGAGCCAAAGGAATAATAAAAATCAGACATGGCCTCTGCTCTTAAGTAGCATAAGATATGGAAGAATTAGAAAAGTAAGCAAGTTTTTAGACTATATGGTTGAAAGTGGTCTGGGCCAAAATACAGCAAATACTATGGGCGTTTAGGAGATGAGAAAGTTTTCCCAGCTGAGGAAGACCAAGGAATACCATTTCTAAGTGGTGGCATTTGAGTTGAGTGTTGAAGTGGTAGTTAGGGTTTGAGAGTTGTGGTAAGTTTAGGGAGGGCATGCCCAGTAAAGAGAAAATCAATAGGCAAGGAACAGATAAGAATTAAACTGTATGGGAAAGGGTGGCCCATCCTACAGGAACAGATTAACTACATTTTTTTTATTGATGCTATAATGATTATGTGACTGATTTTTTTTTTTGGCATGTGAACTGTAATTGATCCACTTCAGAGGGTAATGAGATGGAAACTGTAGTTAAATAATAACTATTACTGAAATAATCAGATAGCATTAAGCAAAGATAAGTATACTCCTCTTAGAATGAAATTGCTTCTTTTGGTGGCATATACAGTAGGATTTAAAAAAACACTTGTTATACTACAGAAAAATGTGAACTTAACTTAGGCTTAACTGATTCCTTGCTCCTAAAATAATAAGAGTATTAATAATACTAAAAATAATAGAGGACAGATCAAAACATTTAAGTCTCAAAGTATTGTCAAAGTTATTGAAAAACTGAAGCCTAATTAATCTTCATGAGCAATAGCTTCATGGTAAAATGAAGTCTGGAGCGGAATTTTGAAAATGTGTTGAACATGATTTTACAGAAAAGGTTGGTCATTTAGCAGAAACCACATGCAAAATGAAAAAAATACAAAATAATATATTCAAAAACTTCCCGAATCTTTAAAAATTTTCTTTATATGCCTTTTCCTCACTTTTAAAATATGTTATAACTGTAATAAGTTGATGAAGAGTGTAATTTTAGGTTGACAACTTTTGTGCTTGGATAATTCAGATGTTCATTTAATTCTCCAAGTGCCATGTTAAAGGAGAAACCAGGATAAGGTATTGAATTGACATCTATGGTAAATTTTTAATTAGCTTTTTATTAAGAATTTAAAAAAAAAAAAGAATTTCTGTGAACATAATTAAATCATATAATAAGCCCCCATGTATTTATCACCTGCCCTCAGAGTATAACTTTTGATCAACTCATAGTCCTATCTACTGCCCAGTTCTACCAGCAATATTATTTTGAAGCACATTTTTGCATACCATTTCATCCTTATAAATTTCAATATATATCTCTGAAAGATAAAGTCTTTTTAAAAAGCATAATGACAATACCATTCTCACACCTAAAAACCAGTTAGTATAGTAATTCCTTAATCCCACCAAATATCTAGTAGGTGCCCCTGTTTTCAATTGTTTTATAAAAGTAATTAAAAATGTTTATAGGTTGACTAAATCAGAATCTAAATAGCATCTATACTTTGTGATTGATTGATATGACTTTACGACTTAAAATATTCCTCCTCCATCTATCTTTCTCTTTTTTTTCTTGTAATTTATTTATTAAATAATCAGGTGGTCTTTTCTATTGACTTTTTCATGGTTTAATTTTTACTGATTGCATCCTATGGTATAGTCTAACATGTTCCTCTATCCTCTTCAGTTTCTTGTTGGGCCTAAAGGCAATTAATATTTTTTATACTTAATCATCTATAATCTCTTTAATAGCTCAATCCACATTCTGTTTGAGTTGAAAATGCTCAAAATAATCCAGGGGATTTTTTTTGTAAAATCACAATTTAGTGTCACATTATTATTTTTATTTATTATTTTTATGCTTATTTTTAAAAAATCATCATAATTTGTATGGTATTTGTTAAAATTTTAAAAACTTATTTTTATACTTTACCTCGAAAGTGAATCCATAAATAATGCTTAACATTCTTAAGACTCTTTTAAGATAGGAAACATTTTTCCCCCTTACCGACTGAGTAGAATACACTTAAAATTAGTTTATAAGTTGGCCATTTCCCTTGCCTTTTTCATATTTGCCTATAGAGTTTTAGGTTTCTTTTTGGACCAGCTGGGGGCAGAAGAGAATAGGGATGGCAAAAACTATTACCAGTATATAATTTACAATAGATAGTAAGTAAATAGATGAAGCTGTTAGCTTTTTCGTGAAGCCTAATAAGGAAAAGTAGCAGAATGTTACCAAGGTTATTTCCAATCTTCCAAGTTATAATTAGAATACTTCATTATTTTATACAGTGGAATGTGCAATTGTTCTTATCTAATTTACCATTTTTACAGAAACAGCTGTAATACCTATTAATGGTTCACCTCGAACACCAAGGCGAGGTCAGAACAGGAGTGCACGGATAGCAAAACAACTAGAAAATGATACAAGAATTATTGAAGTTCTCTGTAAAGAACATGAATGTAATATAGATGAGGTAATTTAACTTCATGATTTCTTTAAAATAGTTACAGTAGATTTAGATGTAAGTTCTTCCTAACAATATATAATTCTTTCATGATGAGCTTGCTTTTTTGTAATTAGTGCCAACTCTTTTGCAGTAGCAAAATATTTAGAAAAAGTTTTAATTTTCATATTCAGTTACTTTGATTTTAAAGAGAATAGCTCCCTCATTCTGGAATCACTGAAACGTACATGATTAAGGCAGTAGTTTTCAAATATATTTGTTCTTTGATTCTTTTGTGGTTATTGATACTCCTAATGTTTTAAAGTAAGCTACTAAGAAAACCCTATTGTTTTGATTTTAGTGATAAGTGATACCAAGATTAAATTTCTGTTTGTTGTTTAGTCGCTAAGTTGTATCCAACTCTTTGCGACCCCATGGACTATAGCCCACTAGGCTCCTCTATCCATGGGATTCTCCAGGCAAGAATACTGGAGTGGGTTGCCATTCCCTTCTCCAGGGGATCTTCCCAACTTAGGGATCGAACCTGCGTCTCTTGCACTGGCAGGCAGATTCTTTATTGCTAGCCACCAGGGAAGCCCAAATTTCTGTTCAGTCATGTATAATTACTCTGTTTCTAAGTATCACACCAGATGTTAATGACTGGTAGAGGATATGCTGAACACCCAGGAGTTGCTTATCTTGTTAATAAGATCTGGAATGTTAGAACTGGGAGGAATCTTACAATTAATGTACTCGGCCTCCTTTTACTAATGAGTAGACAAGCTTCTAGAGACTGATAGCTGATTACTAACAAAGTCTGTGCTTTGGAACATCTGCTACCAGTGCTTCTTTCACTGTGCCATGCTCTTTCTCTCATAGATTGTTATATTATCCACAATTCATTGTATGAAATGTTGCATCTTTGAAATTTCTCTGTCAACTCTGGGGAGGAATGGGGGTATGATGTCAAAATCTCATTTAATAAGTATTGGAGTGATTTATCAAGTCTGAATTTTGGCACTATGAGTTAATTTCATCAAGTATATAGATATAGACATGTAGATGTATCAACTTTACACATATAATATACTCTTTTGCTTTTCTATAATAACATATTGTCTTCACTAATAAGGTGACAAATGTAGTTGAAACTTTTTCTTTTTAACTCCAGCCTGCTGCTTAGTCCTTCAAGATAAAGAATATAAATAAAGGCAGCTTTCTAATTCCTGGTGGTTAAATCTCTGGATTTCAGAACTACTTATATAATTGCCTTCCAAAAATCAGGAATAAATCATGTTTTTCCTTTTTATTTTAAATAATTCTTTCATAATTTATGATGTAACAGTGACTTATAAAGTGTAGGTGATCAATAGCTTTGGTAATTTATATTAAAAATTTGATACTTTCTATATTAAAATATGTAATATTATTTACATATAGCATTTATGATTATATAACTTGGTTATATTTATGGTCATATTATTATTGGTTAGTCATACTAATTAGTTAAATAGAACTACCCATCTTATTATTATTCCAGTTAAATGGGAATTAATTGGAAAATAATGCTATTAATAAGTATTATAGAAGCTTAATTCTTACAGCTTATTTGTGAAGTAGAAGATAGGAACTTATTAATAGGCATATATTAAATTATTTCTACCTTAACAAATATAGACTCCAAAGTTGGAAAAGAAAGTTATATGAAGAAAAGTAAGTTGCTTACAATTCTGGGACAGTTTGTCAGTATAGAATAGTCAGAGATACAATTCCAGGTTTTCCAAATATGGTCTTTATTATTCATGTTAAATGTAGGGAATTTTTTGTATGAAACTGCGTAAGTCCCAAAGCATTTTCATTCAGTTTTGAAGAAAATTGCTAGGTATATGTATGTGAAATTATTTTCTTATAAAAGCAGGTCCTTTTCCTAAATTTGTGCTAAAATAATTAACTCAATATACATTAAGTTTGATATGTATATGAAATGGCCCAAAAATACTCTTTGGGGAGAAATCAGAGGCAGTGTAGAGAAGTTAAAGAGCCTTGACTTTGATGCTAGGCAGATTGGGTTTCAATTCCAGCTCTGTCACTTCCTAGCTATGTAACTTTGGTCAAGTTGCTTAATTTTTTTGAGCCTTCTATCTTTTCACCACTTGTTAAATATGGGATTTTGAAGTTGGTTTCAATGGATTTTCTTCTTGTAAATCCCATTTCATTAACAACTACCCCCTGCACCTCCATTTTAGGACCTGAAATCTGCCTCATAAATTAAAATGAATAATTGTATTAATTATAAATAAAGATCACACTGAGTTGAATGTAACTTATTGATCAAAATGTCAGTTCACTCATTCTAGTATTAATAGTGACAGTCAAAAAACCAGTCAAAAACAGTCAAAAAGTTAAAAAACCAGTTTTTAAAAATTTTAATGGTCATGTTGTAACCTTATCTTTTTCAGGTGAAAAATGTTTATTTCAAAAATTTTATACCTTTTATGAATTCTCTTGGAATTGTAGCTTCTAATGGACTTCCAGAGGTAATCTGAAAGAAAATGTAATAAAAAGTTAACATGTTTCGGGACTTTGGGGAGGGAAGAAGAGTTGTCTAAATTTCGTAGGGTTACTTTACTATATATTAAATATTTTTCACTCAGGGAAAGAATCTAAGTAGAATTGTGATAAATCAATTTTATATAGTAACAGAAAAACCCTTTTTAATATATGCTCAAATGTATATATAAACAGCATTTTAACATTTGCATTAGACATTGATTTGTACTGAAATTTTTCAAAAATCAAAATACAGGCTTTTGAACTTCTAAATGCCTTAAATATTTAAACTAAATTTCTGCGATCTAATTTGATTCTGATTTGCTTTATTATGCTTCTTTAAGCATAGAAGCCTTGGTTAATGCCATCAACATTATTGTCATCACTGAATTTTGGAACATCCTTTTGAGTATTTTTTTTCTTGGCTGTACCATGCGGTTTGCAGGATCTTAGTTCCCCAACCAGGGATCAGATCTGGGCCCCAGTGGTGAAAGCACCCAGACTTAACCACTGGACTGCCAGGGAATTCCCTCTTTTGGCTACTTAATTGGAAATAGCTTTGGTTGAAATGACTGTGATTATATTGGAACTTAGTGGTATGCCATCCATCTATTTCTTTTCACATTTTGCCTCAAATGTCTTGCTCTTCAGTGAGAACAGACAACTGAGAACTTTATGTGGTAACTTGTGGAGAAAAGGATGCTTAAATGATGAAGAGCAAGTTCTCAATGGTGAAGCAGTGTTTTAGACACACCTAGCATCAGTCACCAAGACCAGAAGACGTGAAATCAGAGAGCTAGATTGCTGATTCTGTGACCTGAGTTGGTAGCTAGTCCTTGAATTAACTAACTTATTTATTCAGCAGTTACTTAGTGCGTAACTTGTGCCAGGCATCATGCTGCATGTCGTCCGTGTAGAGATTTAACTCACAGTCATGGTCCTTGTGGTGCTAGTGGAAGAGACACGCATAGGACATTACTAATAGGGGTCTACAGGAGTTTAACAGGTGTGTACACAGGGCATGGTGACATCTCAGAGGAGGGCTACCTAATTCAAATCAGGCCAGGTAGATTTTGCACAGAATCCTGTGGAGGTCATGTGGTTTCTGAGCAGAGTAAGATTTATGAGAAGTGGCATTTCCAGGAGTTGGAAATTATAGATTCAAGGGCACAATGATATGTGATAGTATCGTCTGTTCAGTGAACTCCAACTAACTCCTTAAAGTTGGGTTACAGAGCAGGGACTGGTAAGACATGGTATTAAAGAAGCAAGAAGGGGCCGGGTGGTGTATTACTGAGTCCTGTTACCAACTTATATATAAAAAAATACGGTATTTACAACTCTAAAGAATCTTAGGCATTTGTAATTTTTTTCCCTTTGAAAAGATCACAAGGTTAGAAAATTCAAGATAAACTTTACATTATGTAGCACTAACAGCTACTAGTCAATAACCTGTTGATATTTAGTGCTTCACTGAGACAGGGCAGGAACAATGATTAAATAAGTAGAAATATCTGCTTTGCCTAAAAAACTTAGGCAGGCAAGCACAAAGTTTACATTTAAATGAATTTCTTTCTACTACTCCTTTTAGAATGGAATTTTAGGGCTCTCAGGTTAGAAAGTCACAGGAGAGGGCATGTTAAATAATTGTCTAGCAGGCATTGGTTTTTATATTATGATTGGAAAATTATGAACCCACAACTGATAAAAGATTTATTGATTCTAGCATTTGGAAAAGTGAGATTGGAAATAAATTGTGCAAGTATGTTAATTAGGCTAATTAATTGAGGTTATATGCCCAAGATATGTTACTAAAGAAAGCATGAATAAACCAAAGGATTTAGAAAAGATACAGAAGATTTGTTAGTGTTTGAAAAATTATTTTATATTGAAAAGTGGGGTAGAAGATTAAAAATGAAAGATGTATAGAATGGAGGATTTTGCAATTAAGTGGTCATATATCTATTTTTATCTACATTTCCATCTCAATATTGTTTTGTAGCATTGGTGATTGTTGTCTAGATAAAGTGTGGGATATATCCATAAAAAAAGATTTAAAATTAGAGTTGAAAAAAGTGTGCAATTTTTGCACTAAAATACTTCACTTTTAGATATATGCCTTTATTTACATTGCATGTGAAGTCTTTGTAATGTAGAATTAGGTGATATTGTACAAAAATTGTTTAAATCTGGGATATATATACTGAGATATAATGGCATGAAAAAGATAATCATCAATATTTTTTGGTTTTTGAGGTGGAAAATCTCTCTAAACAATATGAAGAAATTTACCTTAAAAACAAAGATCTAGATGCAAGATTATTTCTGGATCATGATAAAACTCTTCAGGCTGATCTTACAGACAGGTATTACACATGATACATTATTATTTGTTGATATGCTGGTTCATTTTTTAAAAACTTAATAATACCAAAGTATATTCTCTTGAATTGTTATATAGAATCCTAAAATAGGAATGGTTAAGATAACTATAGACAAACCTATGAGGTATTATGGGTTCCATTCCACATCATTGCAATAAAGCAATACCATAATAAAGCAGGTCACACAAATATTTTTAGTTTCCCAGTGCATGTAAAAGTTACACTTACATTGTACTATAGTCTGTTAAATGTGCAAAAGCATTATATTAAAAAAAAAAGATGTATATACCTTAATTTAAGAACACCTTATTGCTAAAAATAATAGCTATCATCTGACAATGCAGGATTATAAGCCTTCAACGTTTTAAAAAACAAATTGTGCAAATCATAGTGAAGAAAAGTGCAGTAAAATGGGATATGCTTGTACAAAAGTTTTGAACGATTGTATGATTAATTTTATGTTGTTAAGCATGAAATCATTTAATCTTAGCTAAAAAATATATATGTATATATAATTCGGAAATTAAAACACAAGTAAAATGTTTCTAGTTTTATTTAAGCCAAAGTAAAGTTTTTGGAAGGCATAATGATTGAAAAACTTGAGCTTTGATGTTTTTTAATACTGAACAACTTGGCTAGTAATATCATCAACATCTAACATTCTAGAGAAAACAAGCATCTAACTTTCACTTTCAGAAAAATTCTTAATGATTGCACACCTGTTTGTCTGTAAACCTAGTGGAAAGAAACCTAATTTAAAAATGATGATGAAAAAGTGAAATTTTATTTATGTTAGCAGCTTTTGGATCATCTATTTCCTTTACCTTCTATTATTTACTTAACCATTTTGTATGATGTCATGAGGCAACAGAAGGTATTATACTGCTTTTTTGACTCATAAAGCCCAAGTTGTGAATTTTCAGTCTGAATTACTCTGCTTATCATATTTAGTTTTGAAATGCAAAGAACACCACGAAAAAGTAACCCCGATGAAGAGGTGAATATGATTCTTCCACAGACTCCAGTTAGGTATGATTTTTCTTACTTTTGATTTTCATTATAATTATTTGATCAGTGCTTTATAGTGCTTCAGGTTTAATCATTTGTGAGGAAAAGACATTGAAAATGGTTCTAGTCCTTCTGGGGTATATACAGAGCAAATGATAACACTTTTCTCTTTTCTATTTACTAAAATGGAACACATTCTCATTCTAGGTTAAACTCCTTAAGGGCAGACAGACCTATGTCTAATAATCATATTGTTGGCAATTAGGAGCACATCTGGCACACAAAGAGCACTCGATATATACCTGTTACATGTATATACAAATATATAATGAAGATGTCTTTCTCTATGAAATTATTATTTTTCACAGCATCCCGTTCATCCCTTCATAGTGTGTATCACAATTTATAATTATGAATTCATCTGTGTATTTACTTATTTCTGTCAATACCCATAATAGCCTTTAAGTTTATACTGCAATGGATCATGACTTTTTTGTTCACCATTAAATTAAATAATTAGGACCTAAGATAATACTTGATACATAGTTACTAATCATTAATTTTTTCAAATGACTATATACACATATAAAAATGCATTCTTGTTTGAATACAGTAATAGCCTCAGACTTGGTACAGAAGGGACTTTATGTGATGTTTGAACTGAGTTTTGAAACATGTAAGTTTGTGTCACAGAAGACAAATAGCATGTGCAGAGGAATGGACATACGAAACAGCACAATGTGTCAGGGGAACTGTAAGCAACTTTATACTGATGGAATAAGTGGGAAGATGAAATGGCAGAAGAGGAGGGTGGGTACTAGGTCATGAAGGGTCTTATTATTATTCCACACTCAGAAGTTTGGACTTCAGCTTGTGCAGGATATAGTCTGTTGCTATACATGGTTTAAGCAGGGGTAGGATAAAATCAGACTTGGTTTTTGAAAATTTACATGATAGTCACTTGTGAAGAGAGGGACTGAGGAGGGTGTAGTGAGAAATAGAGAGACCTACCAATCTGTCACAGTGGTTGTTAACCATGGATGCAAATTAGATAACCTGAGGAGCTTTTTTCCCCCCAAAGTACGTATGCCTTGATCCTGCTGCCATAGACATAGTGAGTCAAAAATCCCTGTTAAACTCCTACATTGCAGTAATTCACTTGAGAGATGCTGAAGACCTAAACCAAAAGATAGGTAATGGGAATGAAAGAGCAAGAACAGATTTGATAAATAGTTGATAATTCAAACTTAGGATATTATTCTTAAGGAATTTATGGGATATGAAGAAGATAATGTAATAAGTAGTAGGATATAAGGATCTTACATAATAGATTTGGGAATCATCAGGGAGAGTTAAAACCAGAAAAAGAGATGAGGTTTTCTGAAGTGAGGGTTATAATAGCAAGGATGGGTGACTAAGGACTGAACCCTAAGAGTGCTGGGACTTAAGGACTGGATAGAACTTAGATTAAAAAGAAAGAGAGGTGTGATCGGGGAGGCCAGAGAGTGGAGCCAAAGAAGCCCAAGGAGGGAGGGAGTTTCAGAAAAGAGCAAGTGTTTGAGTGTGAGATGTCTCAAGAAAATCAAGTGTCAGACCGAGTAAGAAAGATCTTTTGGTTTTAGCAGTTGGTCATTTATGACTTTAGTCATTGTGGCTTAAGCAGTTAGTACATGTATATGTCATAGAAGCGTTATATTTAAAAGTCGAGGAATTGTAGCTATCAGTTTCGAGAGGCTTGACTGAGAACCAAACATGGATTATTAAATAATATTTAAGGAACCTTTCGGCCATAAACATTCTACAGCTTTTTGCATCTTTAAACAGTGCATACGGAGTAGCAGTGTACTTCTACTCCAAAATTGGGTTATTAATATTTACCATGTACCCCCAAATACACACAAAATTATAAGAGATTGACCTACATTTATGTTTTAGTAATGATGACTTCTAAAATCATGTATGCCAAAAAAATAAAAAATAAAATCATGTATGCCTTCTTCTTGAAGATCTCTGTAAAAGAGAGTCACTTGCTTCTTTACTTGAGTTATTAAATATCTTAGTCTTTATTTGACCAGTTTTAGTATTTAATTGTAATAATGTTTGCTTAAAATATTGCCATTTTGATGCCCTTTTGTCCTTAAAATAATGTCATTACTTTTATCAATTGTTTTATTGATATATAGTTTTATTAGTAAATAAATATATCTGTTTTTTAATGATAAACTTACTGATTATGATCATATCAGTTCTTAAAGATCTAACTAAAATGTTAATTCCTTATAAACAACAGTACACTAAGGGATTTGTAGAGTCTTATTTCAGAGAACTTCTTAAAGATTAACAAGAGACAATGAGATTGAAGATAAGTGTAACTTACGACATAGATACATGTCACTTGTTCTTTTTGTTACTTCATTTCTTAACATTTCTTCATATTTTTTTCTAGGACTGTTATGAATACTATCCAACAATTAATGATGATCTTAAATTCAGCAAGTGATCAACCATCGGAAAATCTGATTTCCTATTTTAATGTAAGCTATATGTGAAATACTTTATTATGATATCTTGGCAAACAAATTTGAAATTAGAAGTTAAAATACTGTTTTTTAAACACCCATTTCTCAATAAGTTGTCTATTATCTTATTTCTTGCTTTTCTTTTTAACTCTCCAAATTAGATATTAGTAGTAGTTTTGTTTTATTTGGACAGTGTTATTTTCAGATTTTCTCATGTGTACTATTTGTCTTGCTCACCATTCTTTCTGGCAGCCTAGACCTCCCTTCCATTTTTATTTTCTTCTTTCTTCAGACACATCTTTTTTTTTTAATTGGAGCATAATTGCTTTACAAGGTTGTGTTGATTTCTGCTGAACAACAATGTGAGTCAGTCATAACTATATGTATATCGCCTCCCTCTTGAGTCTCCATGCCTCCATACATCTTTTTATAATTCCTTTAGTGAGAGTTAGTGTGATATGAGTTTACAAGCCTTTTGTTTTATTTCTTGTCTTAAAATATCTTTATTCTTATTTTTGTGAGGCGGTTTACCTGGATCTTCTATTTTAGGTTGACCTTTACTCTCCCTTAGTAGTTTGAAGGTATTACTTTACTACTTCTTGACTCTCATCGTTGCTAGCAAGAAATTTTCTGTCAATTCAAGTGTTGTTTCTTTATAGTTAACCTGTCTTTTCCCTCTGACTGCTGTTAAGATACTTTCTTTGAATGTGACATTAGATAGGATTTAATATTTGTCATATCTCTGCAGTCTTGTTTATTTAGCCCATTTTAATTTATTTTTATTGTATGGCCTTGTGTGCATTACAGTATATATTCCTGATAGACCCTGAGTTTGATATCTGAAAGGCACCTGCTACCCTCCCTCCCCTTAAAAAAAGGGAGTGAGAAAGAAAGAGAATGAAAACTAGTGTCTGTACTCCATGCTTATTCCTTTTCTCCTTTAAAATTAGGTGAGGCTTGGGACTGACTGAAATGCTCATCTCTGGAAGCTGCTTGAGGCTTGAAGACTTATTAAAGTCTGGCTTATCCAGTAACTGTGCTCTGTTTGGTTAGCATTCTATTTAATATCATAAGCTGCCTGTGGTTTTGTCCTTGTCTTTGTTGTCTTCTTGCTTATGTTCCCCCCCCCCCCCAGGGATTAACAAAGTATTTTTCTGTCATCATATTCATAACTGTGTTGGCTCAGAACTGATTTTCTTTGTCCAGTTTGCATAAAATTGTTTTTATTTCTGGGTAATTTGTAGCACAAGAATAGTTCCCAGACATAGGTACTCAGTTACTTAGAACTTTTATAAGTAAAAAGAATGATAATCTCTGTTTCCTTAAATTTGTTTTTGGTATTTCCTCCAACATTTGAAGTATGTAGGACCTCTTTTTTATTTTCAACTATGTCTGTTGCGCAAAAAATTCTGCCTCAGAGATATTTTCCAGAACTCAGTTTAAAGTTTAACATTAAACGGAGTGCAACAGTTTGACTGCAGAGTTTTGCATACACTACAAATTGCCTGTCTCAGAGGGGGCATATCTTGAAAATCATTAAGTTTTTCTCTCAATTTGTTTCTTGGTTTCTTCACTTTAAAAATCAATGCCATCTTTCCTTTCTTGTGTAAGTAAAATATTAGAAGCTATAGACATTTTTTTCTTCCAGTTTTATTAAGATATGATTGACATACTGCTCTGTATAAGTTTACACATACAGCATAGTGATCTGACTTTCATACATCATGAAATGATGACCTCAATAAGTTTAATTAACATCCATCATCTCATTTGGATACAAAATAAAAGAAACAGAAGAAAATTCTTTTCGTTGTACCGAGAACTCTTTGGATTTACTCTCTTAACAACTTTCATGTATAACATACAGCAGTATTAATTATATTTATTTATTTATTTATTTATATATTATTATATATTAATTTATATATTAATTATATATAATTATTTATGTTAATTATATATATAATTATATAATTATATTAATTTATATTATATTGTGTGTTACATCCCTAGTGCTTATTTATCTAATAACTGAAAGTTTGTACCTTTTGACTGCCTTCATCCAGTTCCCCCTCAACCACCCCCTGCCTCTAGTAACTACAAATTTGATCTTTTTTCTATGAGTTTGTTTGTCTTTGAAATATAATTGACCTACAAGACTTGGTTAGTTTCTGGTACACAGTGTAGTGATTCAGTATTTCTGTACATCTCAAAATGATCACCACAGTAAATCTAGTTACCTTTTGTCTCCATACAAAGATATTACATAATTATTGACTGTATACCCCACACTGTACATTTCATACCCATAACTCATGTATTTTGTAACTAGAAGTTTGTACCCCTTAATTTTCCTCACCTGTTTCTCTCTTTACCCACCCCGTCCCTTCTGTTTGTTCTCTGTCTATGATTGTTTCTGTTTTATTATGTTTGTTCATTTGTTTTTTAGATTTCATATATAAGTGAAATCATATAATATGATTTGCTTTCTTTGTCTGATCTACTTCATTTAGCATAATACTCTCTAGATCCATACTTCTTGTCACAAATGGCAAGATTTCCTTTTTCTTTATGGCCAAATAATATCCCCTTATAGGGACTGTGTCTTCCCTCATAGATCAGTTGGTAAAGAATCCGCCTGCAATATAGGAGATCCGGGATTGATTCCTAGGGTGTGAAGATCGGCTGGAGAAGGAAATGGCAACCCACTCCAGTATTCTTGCCTGGAGAATTCCATGGAGAGAAGAACCTGGCAGGCTCCAGTCCATGGGGCTGCAAGAGTTGGACACAACTCAGTGACTACGCTGCCACCAAATAGTATTCCATTGTATGAGTGTGTGTCCACTTACATGTGCTGTGCTGTGCTCAGTGTTCAGTCATGTCTGACTCTCTGTGACCCCATGGACTGTGGCCCGCCTGACTCCTCTCTCCAAGGGGATTCTCTAGCAGGTGGATTCTTTACCATCTGAGCCACCAGGGAAGTCCAAGAATACTGAAGTGGGTAGCCTATCCCTTCTCCAGGGGATCTTCCCCATCCAGGAATCGAACTGAGGTCTCCTGTATTACAGGTGGACTCTTTTAACAGCTGAGCTACCAGGGAAGCCCATATACCTGTATCAGTTCAGTTCAGTTCAGTTGCTCAGTTGTGTCTGACACTTTGCAGCCACATGGACTAGCACGCCAGGCTTCACTGTCCATCACCAACTCCCAGAGTTTACTCAAACTCACGTTCATCAAGTCAGTGATGTCACCCAACCATCTCATCCTCTGTCGCCCCCTTCTCGTACCTTCAATCTTCCCCAGCATCAGGATATTTTCCAATGAGCCAGCTCTTCACATCAGGTGGCCAAAGTATTGGAGTTCAGCTTTAGCATCAGTCCTTCCAATGAATATTCAGGACTGATTTCCTTTAGGATGGACTGGTTGGATCTCCTTGCAGTCCAAGGGACTCTCAAGAGTCTTCTCCAGTGACCCAAATTGACAAATGAACTAAGTAGGTGGTGGGGAGGGAAGCATTCCAGACTCTTATCATGTCATGAAACCACCTTCTTTGTTTGCTGTATATGAAACTCTACTTGACGGCTAGAGCTCTCTTTCTAAAACTGACTTGGAAGGGGAGGCATTAGAATTGACATATGTATACTACTGATCCTTGGAAGGAAAGTTATGACCAACCTAGATAGCATGTTAAAAAGCAGAGACATTACTTTGTCAACAAAGGTCCATCTAGTCAAGGCTATGTTTTTTCCAGTAGTCATGTATGGATGTGAGAGTTGGACTATAAAGAAAGCTGAGTGCCAAAGAATTGATGCTTTCAAACTGTGGTGTTGGAGAAGACTCTTGAGAATCCCTTAGACTGCAAGGAGATCCAACCAGTCCATCCTAAAGAACAGTCCTGGGTGTTTATTGGAAGGACTGAGGCTAAAGCTGAAAGTTCAATACTTTGGCCACCTGATGCGAAGAGCTGACTCATTTGAAAAGATCCTGATGCTGGGAAAGATTGAGGGCAGGAGAAGAAGGGGATGACAGAGGATGAGGTGGTTGGATGGCATCACTGACTCAGTAGACATGAGTTTGGGTAGATTCTGGGAGTTGGTGATGGACAGGGAGGCCTGGCGTGTTACGGTTCATGGGGTTGCAAAGAGTTGGACACGACTGAGCAACTGAACTGAACACTACTGATGGTGGTGGTTTAGTTGTCAAGTTGTGTCCGACTACTGCTATCTTGTGGACTGTCTTCCGTCCTTGGGATTTCTCCAGGCAAGAATACTGGAATGGGTTGCCATTTCCTTCTCCAGGGATTCTTCCCAACCCAGGGACCAAACCCAGGTCTCCTGCATTGCAGGTGGATTTTTTACTGACTGAGTCACCAGTGATTTCTCCATTCACTACTGATACTATGTATAAAATAGATAACTAATGAGAATCTACTCATTATAGCTCAGGAAGTCTATTCAGTGCTATGAGGTGACCTAAAAGGGAAGGAAATCCAAAAATGGGGGGATATGTGTATGCATATGGCTGATTCACTTTGCCGTATAGTAGAAATTTAATACAACACTGTAGGTTTGGAGCCTAGGAATTCCTATTTTTAACAATGTGATTCTTCTCCAAGTGATTCTTCTGTTTTTTTTTTTATTGCAGTATAGTTTTATTTACAATGTTGTGTTCATTTCAAGTGTATAGCATAGTGATTCAGTTATACATATGTTACACATGTGTATCTTTTCCAGATTCTTTTCTTTTATAGGTTATTACAAGATGTTCCCTGTGCTATACACTAGGTCCATGCTTTTTATTTTATATATAGTAATATGTATCTGCTAATCCCAATGTCCTTATTTATCCCTCCTCCTCCTTTCCCCTTTGGTAATCATAAATTTGTGTTCCATGTCTGTGAGTGTATTTCTGTTTTGTAAATAAGTTCATTTATATCATTTTTTAGGCTTCACAAATAAATGATACCATATTTAAAAAAAAAGAGTCTTCTCCAACACCACAGTTCAAAAGTGTCAATTCTTCAGTGCTCGGCTTTCTTTATAGTCCAACTCTCACATCCATCCATCACTACTGGAAAAACCATCTTTTTGACTAGACCTACCTTTGTTGGCAAAGTCGTGTCTCTGCTTTTTAATATGCTGTCTAGTTTGGTCATAACTTTTCTTCCAAGGGACAAGTGTCTTTTAATTTCATGGCTGCAGTCACCATCTGCAGTGATTTTCGAGCCCCCCAAAATAAAGTCTGTCACTGTTTCTCCTGTTTCCCCATCTGTTTGCCATAAAGTGATAGGACCAGATGCCATGATTTTAGTTTTCTGAATGTTGAGTTTTAAGCCAACTTTTTCACTCTCCTCTTTCACTTTCATCTAGAGGTTCTTTCTTTGCTTTCTGTCATAAGGGTGATGTCTTCTGCATATCTGAGGTTATTGATATTTCTCCCAGCAATGTTGATTCCAGCTTGTGCTTCATCCAGCCCAGTATTTCTCATGATGTACTCTGCATATATGTTAAATAAGCAGGGTGACAATATACAGCCTTGACATACTCCTTTCCCTATTTGGAATACCTATATACCACATCTTTATCTATTCATCTATTGATGGGCACCTAGGTTGCTTTCATTCTTGGCTATGTAAGTAATGCTACAGTGAACATAAGGGTGCATAATATTTTTTCAAATTAGTGTTTTCATTTTATTCATATAAATACACAGAAGTGAAGCTGCTGGATTTTATGATATTTCTGTTTTTAATTTTTTGATGAGTCTCCAAGTTGTTTTCTATAGTGGTTGTACCAATTTAGATTCCCACCAGTAGTGTACAAGGGTTACCTTTTCTCTACATCCTCACCAACGCTTATTATTTGTTCTCTTTTTGATAATAGCCATTAGACAGTTGTGAGGCGATATCTCATTATGGTTTTGATTTGCATTTCTCTGATCATTAGCCATTTCTCTTTGAGACCCCATGGACTGTAGCCCTCCAGGCTCCTCTGTCCACGATATTCTCCAGGCACAAACCCACTGGAGTGGGTTACCATGCCCTCCTCCAGGGAATGATTAGTGTTGTTAAGCATCTTCTCTTGTGATTGTTGGCCATTGTATGTCTTCTTTGGAAAGATGTGTATTCAGTTCTATGCCTCTTTTTTAATCAGCTAGTTTTTTGTTTTGTTTTGTTTGTTTGATATTGAGTTGTATGAGTTCTTTGTAAGTTTGGCTATTAACCCTTTATCAGATATATCATTTGCAAATATCTTATCTTATCCTGTAGGTGGCCTTTTCTTTTTGTTGATAGTTTCCTTTACTTTGCAGAAGCTTTTTGGTTTTAAATAGTTCCACTTGTTTATTTTGCTTTTGTTACCTTTTGGAAGTCAATTCCAAAATATAATCTCAAAGCCTAATGACAGGGAATTTACCATCCATGTTTTATTCCAAGAGTTTCATGGTTTCAGGTCTTATGTTCAAGTCTTCAATCCATTTTGTGTTAATTTTTGTGTGTAGAGTAAGATAATGGTATAATTTCAGTTTTTTGAAACTGTTTTTCCAGTTTTAGCAGCACAGTTATTAAAGAGATTGTCCCATTCCTTACTTTATATTTTGTATTATTGACTCTTTTGTGGCAATTAATTGATCATATGCATGGGTTTATTTTGGAGCTCTCTATTCTGTTCTATTGATTATGTTTTTATACCAAAGCAAACTGTTTTGATTACTCTAGCTTTGCAGTATAGTTTGATGCCTCCAGCTTTGTTCTTCTTTCTCAAGATTGCCTTGGCTGTTTGGGGTCTTTTGTGGTTCTACATACAGTTGCTCTACTCTGTGTAAATACCCTGAAATTTTGGCAGGAATTTTTTTAATCTGTAGATTGCTTTGAGTAGTATGAATATTTTAACAATATTAATTTCCTTGAGCATGCAGTACTTTTGTTTGTGTTTTTTACGATTAGCTGTTTTTCTTTAGTATCAGTTGTAAAATCTGTGAGGCTGTTTTTTGATGGCTAAGGAAAGGGCTAACAAATCTTTCCTAACTTGCCAGCAGAAAATTTAGATAATAGGGGTTTTTTAGTTGTAGTCTAGTAGTTTCTGGTCCCTATTCCCAGAATGGAATGCTTTATATTTCTCATATTTTCCGTAGTTGAATTTACTTATTTATTGTGAAGTGTTTTCACAGTATAAACAATTGAAAGTAACAAGTCATGCTATTGTAGAACAGAAAGTGTTAATTCTCTGATTAGACAGTATCCTCTATGTTAATTTCTATTTTTCCTTGTTAAAGAATTGCACAGTGAATCCAAAGGAAAGTATCCTGAAAAGAGTGAAGGATATTGGAGACGTCTTTAAAGAGAAATTTGCTAAAGCTGTGGGACAAGGATGTATGGAAATTGGATCACAGGTAACTTGAAATCATTTTGATGAGTACCACTGCATAGTAAATAATTTCAAATGCAGCATCTGTCCAAGTTGTGTAACTACTGTCTAATAGTATAAAATTTTGGCAGCTACCATATCCTAGTCACCTGTGTATGATGCTATTTGGAAAAATTTTATTGGCTAGCTCTCCTTACTCTATTACAGAAACCAAAAGGAAACATGCAGAAAATTTTAGAGAACTTATGTAAATTTTAGAAAGTACAAGTGAAAAAAATCAAAATCTTGTTGATACTAAGCTTTTGGTGTATATTCCTTAACTTTTACATATATGAATATTCATGTATGCATATACTTATGTGAATGGAATATTATACATACCATTTATTAGTGGTATTATTGAATGATGTTACTTTTACTGTTGCTGTTATTATTTCAGAAAATCTGAAACTAACATTTGGCAAGAGAATGGGCTCTGGCTCCAAGCCCTGGTTTTGCATCTGGCTCTTTCATGTATGAGCTGTCAGGTTTCTGTATTTGCTTTACTTTATGGCATTAACGAGTAATATATAAAATACATTTGAAAACTGTAGCCTACTATACACGTTTATTTTAGAGTAGTGAGGTTATGTTTTGATACCATCTGAATTTTAAAATTTAAAAGTTCTTTTGGTCATAATTTGGGATGAAGGATTATGGTGTATATTTGTGTTTATTTAAAATTTGACTATTTTTTAAACTAATGGAAACTAGTTATTTGATTAAAACCTTTTTCTGGTAAGATCCTTTAGATCTGATTTTTGCCTTTGCCAGCTTTTTGGAAAGGTACTATTCTTTCTCTTAATCCTGGAGAGCTATCTTAAATACATGTACTAGGTCACAGAAGTGTTACATTCGTGTGTAAAATGGTTAGAACAGTACCAGGTTCCCCATTGGCTCAGATGGTAAAGGATCAGTGTGCAATACAGTGGACCCAGGTTCAGTCCCTAGGTTGGGACAATCCCCTGGAGAAGGAAACAGCTACCCACTCCAGCATTCTTGTCTGGAGAATCACATGGACAGAGGAGCCTGGTGGGCAACAGTCCATGGGGTCACAGAGAGTTGGAAAGGACTGAGCAACTAACACTAACATATAATATATTCTTAGTACATGTATATCTGTTATGATGTAGACTGAAGTAGGAATGTAGGAAAACCATATACTGGACCCCTCCTCTTGAAAATTTATCAGGAATGTGAAAACCATCATTTTATATGGAGTTGCAGAGAACTGGATTCAGCTGAGTGACCAACACTTTCCTTGGTTTTAGATTAGCTTTTGTGCTCTCTTGGTAGCCATATTTCTAAGAAGGGTCAGAGATGTGTCTCAGGGCAAAACTTTTTAAAAATTAGTAATTGTTATGTTTTCTAAAATAGTGGGATCTGATTTTTTTTATTTGTTTTTTGTAGCGATACAAACTTGGAGTCCGATTGTATTACCGAGTAATGGAATCCATGCTTAAATCAGTAAGTTAAAAAGAACATAATAGAAAACAAAATTCATTGCTAATGCAAAGAAGGCGTCAGTTAATTTTTTAAATCTGTTTTAGGAAGAAGAACGATTATCCATTCAAAATTTTAGGTAAATTTTTATTTTAGTAAAACAATTTCTTTTTTAATCTTTTTATAAGAGTAAATGTTACAAAAATCATTCTTTTTTTCCTTTAGCAAACTCCTGAATGACAACATCTTTCATATGTCTTTGTTGGCATGCGCTCTTGAGGTTGTAATGGCTACCTATAGCAGTAAGTTAAATTTTAGTAAATAAACATTCTCGTTCAATTTAAAGTTTAAAAAAACTTATCTGAGGTGTTGTGTGGGTTTTTTTATGGGGGTGGGAGATGGAGAAGTTAAGGAGAAGAAATGCATATCTTAGGTCGTTATATACGAAAGAATGTAATTGGTCACCTTAGAATGGCTTGTGAACTTGGATTATTTCAAATCATCTTGGGAATACTTTCACAAGGCCTCTATTTTGGTCTATACTGAATCCAGGAAATGTACCTATTTAACCCCCTTTAAAGATTTAGGAGATTGTAAAATCCTTGAGAAGTACTATTGAGCATCTTCCACTGATAAGGAAGCACTGCCACATATATATATTCAGTGATTATGAGACCAAAGGTTGGAACTGAAATCTACCAGATAAATGGAACAGAGGCCACCAATAGTGGTTTTTTAAAACACAATTTTCAATATGTATTATTACTTTGCAAATAATGTTGCAACTGTCAAAAAAGTTTTGTTTGTAAAAAACAAAAGAAAAAAATTTATCTAAGGATACAAATATATTACATAACTAATATAACCAAGAAATGCACAGTTAAAACAGATTTTTCTAACCAAATTATCAAAATCTAAACAATCACTTCCCCTCTTAATCAACAATTAATCAGACAGTTAAATTGGATATGCCAGTGCATTACTGGTTGGATGTTAAGCCTGTTCCTGATACAAGTTTAGAATATTTAAACCTTTGAAAATTTGATATGAGCTATGAGCAGCAGCAGCAGCATGAGCCTTCTATCTAAAAGAAACATACATGCATATGCACTCAGACTTGGGAAGCCTATTTCCTAGGAGTCTGTGGACCCCAGAATAAAAAATTCTGTTTTAAATAAATTTTTTTTGTTTAGCCTTTCTACTGTGTTTTAATTTTTTGTTTGATAAAACCTTTGAACTGAAAAATAATGTAATTCAAGACTTTCTGTTTCATTCCTAAGTTATGTTTTTCTTTCATTTTTAGGAAGTATGTCTCAGAGCCTGGATACTGGAACAGATCTATCCTTCCCATGGATTCTGAATGTATTTAACTTAAAAGCTTTTGATTTTTACAAAGTGATTGAAAGTTTCATCAAAGCAGAAGCCAACCTGACCAGAGAAATGATTAAACATTTAGAACGATGTGAACATCGAATCATGGAGTCCCTTGCATGGCTCGCAGTAAGTAACTAGCCAAAATAGTTAAAGATATTCATATGCATATGGATAACAGTTATCTGTTAGTGAGATATATTTGTTAAAATTTACCTTGAGCAATTATGTAATTTAATGAATAATGTGATTTCCAAGTAGAGCCCAAGAATCAAGTGGAATATTATCAGTAGAATGGTGTCCTTGAGCTCTCCAGACTATCTCATATAGGAATTTATTGTGAATTGCTTTTCTTAAACTTGGTACTTCAAAACAAAGCAGAATTCTTTAAGGTATTTGGGAACTTTATTTAAAGTAGGAGTGTCATGTTTGAAAATTTAAATGTCTGGTCTTAAATTTTAACAGAATAATAAAAAAAAAATTGACAGGCTATTGAGATGATTTAAGAGTACAGATTTTTAGTTCAATTTAATTTGATTTTTTTTGTTCCATCGTTAAAAATCTAAAACCTACACAAGTGTATTTATTGCTTATAGCATTGTATGGGCAAAAGGAATATTCTAGGTAGTCTTATTTATAGCATATAAGCTATTGATAAAGCTTTATTTAAACAAAGGTTATATTTCCTATGTAGTAATAGTAAAATATTTATATGAAGTTCTTCTGTTATGCTCTTTAAATCTTCATAGTTGGGCAATACTTTGTTAATCATCAGGTTTGTAGATTGATATACAGTTGGTTTCTTTTGAAACTGTTGCATGCTAAGCTTACATCTTTTCATTTATATCAGCATATAGAAATGACAATGAAAAAAAAAAGAAAAAAAAAAGAGAAAAAAAAGAAATGACAATGAAAAAATTAAGGCTTTAGTTATAATCTTAATCTTCATGCAAATATAGTTTTAAATTTTTTTGTATTTTAAAAATGTAATGGCTAAGAGATGACTTGTTTCTTCATGCTTTTCTTGTATTGCCGTATAGACAGAGTGGATGGGAAAGGAGAGAAGTAGGGGAAGTTGATAGACATTGTATTACTATGATTGAATTGGGTAAGTCTTTTATACAAAAGCTTCTGCTTTGTAAAAAAAAAAGGAGTAGTTAGGAGAAAACTCTCAGAATCTGGGGGTTCAATGAAAGTAGCAAAAATAAATACATAGATCAATAAATGGAATAAATAGATAGAGTACTTTTTAGAGGGTGCCATGCCCCCATTTCCTAGAAATTGAAATCAAGACATTACTGTTATCATCTGAAAGTGACTATTCTCATTTCTTTTGGAGAACTTTTATTTCTATCGATACACATCTGCTATATGCCTTGCATTGAGGTAGATATTGTGAGGATATAGAAAAGACACGAGCTCTGAAAATTATGGAGGAAGTAGTAGAAATTTACTGTTGAAAATTGCTTGTGTTCAAGCCTGTTTAGTTCAGTTACTGGTATTCTAGGATTCTAAACAATATTCCTTTATTTTTGAGAATTTTTGGAGGGAAAGTAACATGCACAAAGTCTGGTTAAGGGTACAGTTTTTTAATAATAGAGTAGTGTGGACTTCATAAGCCTCTGAATTAAATTCTAAGTTTGGTATTTCTGGGGGATAAGATTATAGACTACTTTTAGTGTTTGAATTTTCAAAAAATCAATACATATTGCTGTTTTAATCATAAACAGAACAGAGTGGTGGTGGGTAACTATGAAAATAAGTCATGCCACACAACATAATATGTGAGTCTTTCCTGTGAGAATAATTAACATTTTAGAAAGTAGGCATACCACAGATAAATTTGAGCTTTCACAGACTGTAGGATTTTTTTCTTTCTTGAAGTATAACATATATACAGGAAAGCATATATCAAAAGTTGTAGTTCAAAGGATTTTTTACAAATAGAATGTACCCACGTTACTAACATATAGATCAAGAATCAGAGCAATTGAGCACACCTATGATACCAAAATCCAGATCAAGAATCAGAGCAAACCTGCTTGGTTTTTTGTTTCTGTAGTACAGTCAGAATCTCTCATTGAACTGAAGATATTTATGAGAACATACTCACAGGGAAACATCAAGTGAGATACTACTTACTTTACTCATTGGTAATTTAATGAAAGAAAGAACATCATTGTATTTTTAATGGTTGCATGGGGAAAGGGTTGAGTACCTTTACTGCACAGTCTTGAGAAATACTAAATCAAGAACGGAATAACTTTAAGAAGGCATAAGCACACTTCTGTTTTTTTGATCCCAGAGAGATTAACAGGCAATATATGAGTATAAGATGCTAAACAATCTATTGAAAAACCTAGTGAAATTTTGTCCTCTAGAAATCTGGAGGATTAGGGGTGGTTTAAAATGAATCATGCCTAAGCATTGGACCAAATGACTTACAGATGTTTAGGCCTCTTAAATCTGTTAAGCAGTTTATCATGCCAGTAGATGATGAGGTGAGATTTGGATATTTTACTTTCAGTGTATTTAGACTGTGTTGGATTTTTTCAGTAAAATCTTTGTAAACCAAGATAGACCAGGTAGCTTACTCTCTAAATGGTCTTTTCTGTGGGCATCTGTGGGTTTATCCTCGTGACCTTCCCACATCTTGGCTACCTTAACACTGTTTCTCTCATAGCCACCAGAGAAGTTTTTTTATAAATGCAGAACCACTTTCATGATGCTAATTCCTCAGATGAAAAATCTTTTCTAGGGGACCTGTGCCTCTGGTAATATGGAGGGAGACCATACCATATGACTCCTCACAAAAAAATACAACTATAAAACCTGTGCACACTCAGTTGTGCCTGACTCTTTGAGACCCCATGGACCGTAGCCCAGCAGTCTCCTCTGTCCATTGGATTTTCCAGACAAAAATACTGGAGTGTGTTGCCATTTCCTTCTCCAGGGAATCTTCATGACCCAGGGCTCGAACCCACAGCTCCTGTGTTTCCTGATTGGCAGGCAGATTCTCTTCCACTGAGCTACCAAAGGAATCGCCTGAAGTCACTGACCTTTTAGAGTAGACAGCCTAGTTGAGAAATGGAGTAGGGGTGCTGTGAGCCTGGGTAGGAAGCTTTTAGCCTGGGGCTGGGAGGTGTAGGGGGAGATGAGTGCCTGTGGGAAAATCTCAGGCTTTCTGACTAGGGAAACTGGAAAATTGAAACAACCATGGGCTGTTGCCTGCCAGGCTACTCTGTCCATGGAATTCTCCAGGCAAAGTTACTGGTGTTGGTTGCCATTCCTTTCTCCAGGGGATCTTCCTGACCCAGAGATTGAACCTGGCTCTCCTGAATTGCAGGCAGATTCTTTACTAACTGAGCCACCAGGGAAGCCTGTCTCAAAGTGGCTTTAGTAGAAAGGCAGAAGATCTGACTTGAAGCAGAAGCTGCTGGTGAATAAACAATTTGTAGCTCAAGTTCAGTAAAAATAATTACCTGCTTTAAGACAAATAAATAAACAATATTCATTTGAGAAAAATAGAATCCAGAATCTTTACAACTTTAACATTTATGGTGTTCAGGATACAGTTCTATAATTACCCAGCATACAAAGAGGGTCGAAGGAATCAAATGTATGTTTTTAGTGGGAATTTTAAGTAATTATTTGATGCCTGTAAGGCTCTCTTTTAGAAGCTTTGTCTCTTCCTTTTTTCTTATCAGCAGTTTAAAGTGTGGTCTGTGATCATGGAAAACATTTTACGGGATCTGCAATGTGAAAGCTATTTTCATATTACTGTTAAGATGTTATTTATTTTTTTCACTCTATTGACATTTATGCCAATGACATTTATTCCATTATTCCAAAACTTTTGGAACCTCTGCACCGTATTAGAGCAGTAGCATCAAAGTGTTTGTGGGTTTTTTTTTTTTTTTTAGTTCTACCACTTTATTGCTACCAACCCTTCTCCCTCCACCCTCGTGCACACATGCTCAGTCATGTAACCCCATGGACTGCAGCCTGCCAGGTTCCTCTGTCCATGGACTTTTCCAGGCAAGAATACTGGAGTGGGTTGCCATTTCCTTCTCCATGTGGGTTTTGTTTTTTGTGGGTTTTTTTTTTCAGTTTTTTATTTTGTGTTGGGTATAGCTGATTAACAATGTTGTGGTAGTTTCTGGTGAAGAGTGAAGGGGTTCTGGTGATCAGCCACATACATACTTGTATCCATCAAGTCCCCTCCCCGCCAGGCTTGTGGTCACTGTATTCTTCACCACCACAAACTCCGTTAAAAAAAAAAAAAAGCAAAACATGCCTGTTGTCATTTAAAAACATTGTTGATGAACCAGTTAAAAGTATTTATTTTGTACAATCTCTATTCTCAAGTACAGTGTGGTTGAAAGCAACTAACAATAAATGTTGCCAATGATAAGTTTTGAGTTCTCAAGGGAAAGTTAGAATTTTGATAATCTTGTATTCACTGTAAGCAGAATAGCTTCCCAATACATCAAATACTTTTCTGATGAATTTAGGGGTAGTATTAGTAAATGCGATTGTTTAACATTACATAAAGAGATTCATCAGCATTGTAAGATCTATGTAATTCAGTGAACTCTTATTTCCAAATGACCAATGCATCATGCTATAAAATCATACATGAGTAAGAAGTTTATTCAGAGTTTAAGGTCTTTGATAGATAGATCAATGGTTTTTAAGGTCTCAGAATGTGAAGTTTAATTCATGAACTAAAATTCATGAAAAAAAATTAAAATTAAAAATTCAGTGAAAATAAAAATTCATGAAAATTGTTTCCAATTTCACATTGCAATTAACCTTTAAGAAACTACTGTTTGTTGAGTTTTAGGGTAGTGTCAAAAAAGAATATCTCTTATTATCTGAAAAGTCTATTAAAATACTCCTTCTTTTTTCAACTACATATTGTGTGAGGCCAGATATTCTTATACTTCAACCAGACAACACATTTCAGTGAAGCAAATATAGAAGCAGATATGAGAATTCACATCTCTTCTATAGGCTAGATATGAAAGGGCTTTACAGGATTATAAAACTCTGCCAGTGTTCTAATTTTTTTGTTTATTTAGGGAAATAGACTTAGGTTTCATAAAAATGTTAGTTTTGTTAACATA